TACAAATCATTAAGATGGCTACTAATTGTCCCTGATCATTGTTTACAGTGAACTAGGAGCAAAATTACATATGGTACTGGCCATTTCCTTAACAAGGAAGGACCATTCTTACCTTGAATTGCTTACAGTTACTGCCCAGCATATGTATTGGGGGATGCAAGGAATATGAAACTGATCCTCAGTGACTTTAGTGTGGAAGCTTCTGATAGTGTTTTAATAATATGGAACTCATGCAAAAATTTAGCTTTCTTCTCAATAATTAATGTTAGTGAAAAGTTTAATGTGTGTTTAGTGGGTGTGCTGTGATACTGGCACATGAACAGAATAATAAGGGGTTTTGTATGCATGAAAGGGTTTTCACCTGCATGCTGACTTTTAATTCTTTTTTTAAATGCCGAACAATAAGGTTTATTCTCATTAAAAGAAGAAGATGGATTATTCCTCCAAAGTGATTGTGGTAAAAAGTTTAATTTGTGTTCTATTAATTTCCTCTTAATTGTTTGCAAGAAAATGACATGGTGAAATGCTTAGGCTCTGTGCAGAAATGAAGAGTAAAGTACATTTGCAGTGTATGAAAAAAATCTTTGCAAAATTTGCAGAAACTTGTCTGGTGAGTGTATGCATCTGTGCATTGGTCAAATTATATGCTTTTAAGTGAAAGTAAGTGAAGAAAATTACTAATGACACCCAGAGCCAGTGCAAAATAGTTTCAGTTTCTTGAACAGGGCACCAAGATGTGAATCATCACATTTTCACTGTCAGAAAAACCCGAGTGTTTTTTCCTCAGGGTAACAAAGGTACATGTCAACTGTCTAAATAAAAAAGCTCAGTGAAGGCAACACACATTAGTTTTACCATGAGGTAAACTCCCTCAGGTCAACCCCAGGCAGGGTACAACACTCATCTTGGCAAGTCACCGTGCTAAAACTTGTAATGCCTCGTCACTATTTTTCTACCTCAAGGTACTGGTGTTCATGTTGGCTTCCTCGAGGTAAAAATGCTGCCTCTTCATCAGCAGGCACCAGCCCTCAGCTCTGTACATGCAGGCCAGCACTGTGCTCCTTGGCTGTCCCCAGGTGTGACAGTCATCCTGCCCCTTTGCCCACCCCCTCTTTTTCTGTGTCTCCAGTGCTCTTCACAACACAGAGGAAGTCCAGTGTCTCTCATGAATGCATTTCAACTCACTTCACCAAATCTGGCTCATAAAAAGTTCTCAGGCTGTCAGGGGGACCCTGTTAACTAGTTTCAGAAAACTGTAATATTATTGAAAAGCGTTGTGTGGCATGTATTTTGCAGGCTTGAAATACGGCACTGAGACCTCCTTGCATCATGCTTTTCCCCTGTAGGCTCTCTCCAGGCTCCTCTCCCATCTCCTGCTTCTTCAAGCATTCCTGCTCGCTTCAGGCTTGCCACCTTACACTTGGCCTATCCCCACTTCCATCACTACCAGAAAATAGGGACCTTCTTATCTCTCTCTCGCTCATCTCTCTCTCATTTGAAGGTCCTTTATTTATTTTTGTGCTGGGAATACAATTTTCCTTCCCACCAGTCTTATCTTCCAGGCAGAGCAAAAAGAGGCAAATTATTCAGTTGACCACATTTTAGCTGTAATGGGGTGAGAAGTAGATGGTTAATAGCCATTGTTATTTTTCTTTCCATTATATCAGCCACTGCAGGGGGAAATAAAGGTATTGGTTTGACTGGGGAGAGGCAAGGGATTGCATGCATCCTGCCCTTTTCTCTTTGGGTGAACGGTTTGTCACCAAAATCAGGTGGTCTGTGCTTTGATTTGTAGAACTTCTCCTGAACATTGGGCTTGCCTGGAGATGACATTGAAAAGTTCCCATATTACAGGCAGACAGATGAATGCCCTTGAGCTGAAAGTAAGACTTTGCTTGACTTAGAAAATGAATGCCATTTTTCTGGTATTATTATTGAAGGTAATGTTATACTCCCTTGTATCTGAACACGACAGCAGTTACAGCATGGGTAAGTGCTTATAATCAGTTGTGATAGTGTTTATTTTAGAAGTTGAGTGAATCACTAGAATCCTGCTTGCTGAATGATTTTACTGGGGAAAATAGTTGCCTTGCAGCAGCCATGTAAACTCATAGACAACCAGAAAATGATGAGGTACCAAGTCACAGCACCTTAGATACATTCTGTGTTTTAGGTATGGAAAATCTCTCAGTTTAGCAGATTGTATTTGAGTGTGCTGTTTGTCAACTACTCTTTTTAATTTCCGTCCTAACTTTCCTTCCTCTGGTGAGAAATTGTGTTTTCCCATCTCCTTTTCCCCTACAATTTGAAGCATCTAGTATTCCATGGTACCTCTGTCAGGACTCTACATTTCCGTTACAGAGTTATTCTTCAGTATTGATCATTATCTTCTCCTATCAGGATGCTTTAGCAGCAAAGGGCCACAGTATTCACATCTGTTTGACTCCTTAGGTTTGATTCTAAGCTCTGCTGAACCTACCCAAGATCAAACTCTTGATTTATTTGTGAGTTCAGACTTCTTATCCCAGGTACTGTGAATGATCTCTTCATGTGGGTGGCCTGTGTGCTAAAAGGTTGGACCTTGCATTTTTCTAGCCGAGTCACATGTGGGCCTCTGGAATCTCAGAAATTTTCCACTTGATAGAAGAAGGGGACTTCAGAAGCACTGCTATAAGTACTTAGAAATATAGGCTGAGAAAATGTTTCAGTGTGCAGATACCCTACTGTCTTTCCCACTTTTGGAAAATGGTGGCATATTATTTTGAAACTTCAGTTTGGCATAGTTTTGGATATAGGCTGGTTCTGACCAGGATTTACTTGTCTGTCTGCAGAAATGGCACAAGGGCTTGGAAAGCTGCAAGATGCAACTTTAACTTGTATCACTTTTATCAGTATGTTTTGTCTTCACTGAGTTTTGAATTGGGCCTGATGTCCTGATAACAGCTTCCTGAGCTTCAGGATGCTGTGAAGGAAATGCTGTCCCTTAGAAATCATTATGTTAAAGGTTCAGCAGATGTGCCAAAAGAATAACCTTTGGGTTCCTGAGTTTAAGATGCAAGTCGCTGTTTTTGACTTAAGTACAGGCTTATATTGTTAGAGAATGGCTTCAGCAGAGGCAAATTACCATTTACAGGTGAGAGAAGTGGTGCATTGCCTTTAAGGAGAATATTTTAATTTTTCATAAGTAGATTTTATAAGATTTGTGTGTGTATATATATATATATATATATAGTTTTTCACAAGTAGAGTTTATAATTCTTTCACACAAATGACTTACATGAAAGTTTGCATGTAAACAGTGTAGTGGGTCATTAACAGTCCACCAAGGAGGCAGTAAGTGGTGGCAAGTATCTGCAGGTGAAAGCCAAGTAGATAAATATAAGGTACTTTGGAACCTGTTTTCTTATCTGACCTTTTAAGGATGTCATTAACAGTTTCCTGTTTATCCTTCAGTTGAAATTTCTGCTCACCTTGAAGAAGCTGATTGTTCAGTGGAAGACTCATTAGGAACTGTATCACATTCCATCTCAGCAAGTAGTCAGTCAGCCCTGAGGTTTTATTCCCAGTTCTAGATTGGAAGGCTGTTTTAAGTAACAAAATGTTACTGAAGTCTAGTGTCTTTGGTCATCTGAATTTCCTTGCTTTAAAGCTAAAGGTTGTGTAGTTTTCATTTTTTTTTGGTGTGTGTATCTTTTTTTTGGGGCCTTTTTAACAGTAAAACTGAGAGGTATCTCAGGGGGTTCATGGTTAGCTCACACTATGCAGTATTACACACAGTAGGAAATCTGGGGATTTCTCTCTCTTGCTTCAGTGACTTTAGCAGCTTGCCCAGCAATCCTACGGTGACATGTTGTAAGGGTCATGGGTTTGGAGCAAAGCCAGCACTAGTGTTAGCAAGCAAAATTCCTTATGACTCCACCTTTTTTTTTTTTTTTTTTTTTTTTTTTTTTTTTTTTTTTTTTTTTTTTTTTTTTTTTTGCTATTGGCCCAACGCAGGCAGCAAAAGTAACATGTCTGAACCTATTTCCTTGTCTGCTCTGGTGGTTACCCACTTTCTTCTCCCCTAGTTCAGGGAAAGTGGGGAAGAAAGGTTTGCCTGTGCCCAGCAGCACTGCAGGTGTCTGTCCCTCTGAAAGAGTCCCAGTGGTGTGGGCGTGCTGGAAAGAAAAATCCCCAGTGACTTCACCCAGCTTGGCTTGTGGTGGTTACTCACAATGAGGTCATTTTTTTTCTATTTTTTTTTTTTTTTTTTTTAGCTACGCATGTTTAATGCTGCATCTGAGTTTTTGCATATGAGTGAAACTGCAGCCCTGGGACTGATTCAGGGAGTTTTCTCTGCAGAGTAATTTTGGTGAGTAAACACAGATAAGAGGAAGCTGGGTTAATCCAATAACTCCTCCCTCAAGGGCAGGTGCAGCAATGTGGCTCAAGGTACAGAACAGAGGAAATGCCTTGTTGACACAGGTGATCAGAGCAAAGTGGCCAAAATTGATATAATGATATGAGTTTGCAATGCAAAGCCCTGCTTTCTCAAGGCTGCTATTTTCAGCCCTCCACAGCACATCTCTGTTCTTTCACCTCTGTTTGGTCAGGCATCCTGTTATGGGTGACTTCCCAGCTCCTTTTCATGATCTCTCAGTAGCTGCATTGCTGCAGTGTAGCTTGGGCTGTGCTGTGTTAACCTGTGAGGATTATTAAAATAAACTCTGAGTCATATTTGAGCTGTACGTGGGATAAGATGGTTATCAAGGTTTATTTTTTCTTATAATTAGGTCTCTTAAACATTGCCTCGTTAGATATCTTCTATGAGTGTTGGAAAAGTCCTCAGGGAACTAGTGGTTGTTTGTTTTCAAGGGAAGTTCACATGATAAATACAGAAACTTGCCACTCTGTGAAGGGGTTTTTATTAATGACAATTAACCTGACATTTTCCTTTAATCTTTTCTTGTCCTGATTTCTCTCCAGCCTTTTCACTGCTATTACAGCTCTGGTATCCTATAGCAAGTAAGAACATAACATTACTACTGTTCATACGTGGGAGATGGAGGAACTGCATTAAGAGCCCATCAGATAGGAAAGTAAGAGGCTGCTTAGATTTGTATGGAGCCACTTCCAAGTTTGGCAAGCTGGACTGGAGTGCCTTGGCCCAGGCTGAACTCTTATTCCTATCAGCACTGCTGGGTTTGTAATGGCTCTAAGCAATTCCATTCCATCTTGTCCTCAAACGTTTAGCACCCAGGGGTTCAGGCATGGCCTGCTTTGTCTCTGTGGTGTTCCTCTTCCTCTGTGCTTAAGGGGCTGCTTGGGAAATAGCATCATATGCTTTCCCCTGCTCTGCAGTAGGCTAAAATTTCATGTTGCCTGTCCCTTGCCCTCTTTTGCTCACATGGCTGCCTGCTGGCTCACCTCCATCTCTCAATGCCTCTATCTGCTAAGATTGGTGCTGTTTAGATACATTTCTGGGAAAATATCCAAGCAGACATAGTTCTTTTTTTCAATCATCTTTTCTTCTAACCTCAGTCAGGAAATCTTGATCTTCAAATTCTACTTCTCCAGTGGTCACCACTCTTTTTGCCTCCTCCTATCTGTCCCCTCACTTCCCCTTCAAAAACAGGAATAGCTGGCTTGGTGCTCCCACTCAGAACTCGTGGTCCTTTGGGTGTGTGGGACACCACATGTGAAGTAGGAACTGCTCTGAGAGAAGAAAAAGGATGTTTCTGGCCCTTTGAGGCAGACCTCTGCCTTTCTGCTTTCTACTGTTGAATTATCTCTAACTGCCACAAGTTTTAGGTGAAGTGGTTTTTTTTTTTTGCTAATGCTGGGATATTTAAGATGCATTTTTAGAAAGAGTAGTGGATCCGAAATGCTCACAAATTTTAGTAGAATTACCTTTTTTTTTAAATTTCTTTTTCCTGCAAAGCTGTGCCAAAGGGGCACAGATTGTTTAATACTTGTCAGTATTCTCCTCAATTCAAAAATTTCAGCCATGTAGGAGGAAATAACACGTAATATTAGTGATCACTCTTGTATCATGAGGAATGGGTTGTAAGCAAAGACCATGAGGCTGGGACTTGTTTCTCTGCATGATTTGACAGATTGATCTGTGATTAATCTGCAAACAGAAAGAAAAAGGGGATAATTAACAACAAACATGAAATTTGGAATGAATAATTTGATGAGTCGAAGGCACAGATTAACTGTAGTTTAGATTCAGAGACTATTTGGAAAGGTTAAAGCTAGGAGGAGTTCTGGAATAGGCTGCATCAGCAAACTGGTACATTATTTACTCTGGCAAGGTTTTCAGTGGTAGAGAAAGCTATTCCAGGAGGTGTTAGTCTGGGCATGGTCAGCACTGGCTCAGAGTTTGTACAAAATGCAGATTCAGGAGATTACTGGGCACAGAAGCAGACTTCAGAGTTGTGAGGTGCTTTGTAACATCAGCCTGTTGGGCTGTTGGATCAGCTGAGATGGCTGTTCTCCTCTCTGGAAAAGAGGAATTGGCCCATGCTGTGCAGTGACTAACAAATTGTCCCCAAGGACTGGACAGTTAGGTAGGAAAATGTTATTTACCTTAAAAAAAAAAGCAACATTTTTTACGCATATCCAAGATGCTAATAATAAACTGTCAGTGGAGCTCTGCCCTTTGCTCATAGCTGTGGTCATCTCTTCTCCACAGTATGACTGAGTGTTAGCATTTGTCATTTCACCCAAACTACTCATGCACTAAAACTAACAATCTGGCCATCGCATCTCCCCTGGGAGGTTTGGATGTGAATCATGGAAGAGGTTTTGGGTCTGTGCAACAAGTCATGGGAATTGTGGAAGGAAATTATTATATGCTAGATTTGTTTTATTGTAAACCACATACTGTCCTAGAATTAGACCCCTACTTCACATTTTCAGGAGCCAAGTCCAGGAGTCCTAACTCAGATGAAATTCCTCTTGCAGTTGGAAAGTTTGGCTGTCCCAAATGTAATTTAGGTTTTCATTTGGCTTCTTGTTTACAGCTTCTTTTCTTTCTTATGTATTTTCTCTTTGGATTCAGACTGGTTCTTTCATATGAAAAATCTGCCATGATTCCATGAGTGGCTGGTCAGTACTTTTTTTTGGTACTTCTTTCTCTTTTCTTTCATATAGTTAAAGATATTTGGTTGAACATCGCCACTTCACACTATGGTCCATACTTTTTTTTTTTTTTCTCCTGCAGGGGAGGAGTTACGAACATTTTTCTGAAGATGGCAGATACCAGTTAAAGGCTGAGTTATAGGCATTGGGAGCTATGGGCATTCAGTACATCTCACATATAAACCAGCTGAAGGACCACTGAACTCAGCTGCAGCAGAACATCCACTTGCTGCAAAAAGCAGGCTGATAAACCCTGTGCGCTGACTTCCAAACTCTGGTAACTTCACTAGCATGCCTTAAAAAACAATCAAGCACCTCCCTCCACACCACATGTCCAAACCCCCCTCCCAAAAAAAACCCCAAAACCCCAGCCATAACCTCCAAACACAACAGAAAGGAGTGCAAAACTTCCAGAGAGATATTTGGTTCATTCTGCCAGAAATGTGTGGTCTGCAGTATCTCAGGTCAGGTCTTCTGCAGGAAACTAAAATAGTTTGTGGGAAGAACTCTTAAACCAGCCTTATAGAATCCACATGACATTTTATTATTTTGTAGGACTTGCTTTTATATATAAAAAATAATTAAAAGGAGAATACAATTAAGCTGAAATTAACTAAGGCTGGGTAGATTCACCATAGGCAGTGATGATATCTGGAGCTTAACAAAAACCAACCTATCATGCACATCCAAATGGTATTTTGAGATATGTACTGAGCTTAGAAGAACTAATATTCCATTCAAAAAGAATAAAGGATACTATTTTGGAACTTATTCTTTTTTCTGTGGCACAGCTGAAGGGTGAAACTAAGCTTTTCCATACAGATATATGAGACAGAATTCATACTCCACCAAATGAGACCTTTATGCTTCCACCTGCGTATTATGACTCTAATAAACACGTTATCAGCTCATGAAAATGATGGCAAACAGGTGACTGGAGGATTTGATAAGTCAGCAGCAAAGATTAACAGATTTTTCTCAAGGAAAAAGTATGAGAGATTCCTTTATTTAAAACAATTGCAGCATGTGAATTGACTGCACTTAAATCATTACTGGCAATTAGTATATGTCAGAAAGGTTGCAGCTGGCTCCAATTACAGGTAGAACTTTTAGAAGCTGAACTTAATTGTACCATGTGATAGTGAGAGGCTGAGCAATATATATCATCATAAGGCTGCTCCCTGTGCAGAATCTTATGATTATTTTAACTAGGCTTAGTCCCTGCCTCCTGGGAAATGGATATTGTAGGAAGAAATTGTTGGGAATGCAGTAGTTCACCTTGCTGAGCTTCTCTGTGTGTTGGGGAGAGCGTAGAAACTATGTAATACAGGCAATACTTCTCCTTTGTCCCTCTGCAGTAGGTTTGCCACATTTAGGGTCTTGCAAGTCATATCCAGCTTAGGCTGCATAATCCATTCAGCTCCAGGCCAGGAACTTACTGCCTCAAAGTCTCTGCAGTTGTAGGCAGGGAGTCATTTCAGACTGTCTCGGTATTTTGATGGGGCACTCCCTCTTGTGTAATTGTCACGTGTGAAAAACTCTTTCCTTGTATAATGGCAGTATGTTTTACTCTGTGGCATAAAGACTGTTGGATGTACAGCTGTGTGCTTGGGATGTTTCTGGTCTAGTCACGTTATCAGGATCTCTCTTGGTTTCATGATGGGCTATGGCCATGAGCTTTCACCTTGGTCATGGACTAGGGCAACATCTTTGTTATTCCAGTTCTCTCTCTGGTTGTGTGAATGTATTTCTTGTCATGTGGTAAAATAGTGATGTTTTGAATAGAAGACTAGTAGGTGACTGCTCATATGTTAGGAAGGGAGATTACAGTATGTTGACTCCTTTTTTGTGTTGCTTTGCCTAAATCTTGTTCCCTCTTGCAGGAGCCTAAAAGTATGGAAGGTAAGTATTAATATTCCCATTTAGGGATTCAATGCTGCATGTGAACCTGATGTGTGTCCCAGTGTCAAGATGATGCCCTCAGGTGGAGCCCAAGCTTACTGCTGGCTTGTGGAGGACCTTTAGTACATTTAGTGGAAGAGGGAAGAGCATAGAAAGCATGTTACTTTTTTGTCTCTTTCCTTTCCTCTTTTGTATGTCCAGTGGAGGAGAAAAGCTAAATGTTTTTGATCTGTGTACCGCTGAGTCTTAGCTTCCTTTTTCCAATAAAAAGGTGTATCCAGATTACTGCATTTTGAAATATTTTATTGAACAATTTGAACTGGTTGTTACTACTTCAGCTGAACTTATTAATGAACTGTGGTATGACTGTATTTGTATCTCCCTATTCATTAGCCAGCAAACAGTGGCTGTGTGGGCAGAAGCAGGCATTTCACAGTGTGCTTGCACTTGGGTTGGTGCATGGGCTCAGGCATCCTATTGGTTCTTTGTATTGCTCATAAACCCATGTTTGACCAGCAGGACATCTACCACGAAACTCATTAGAGCTGCTATTTTGGGAAAGCAGGGTGATGTTTCACATAACATGTGCTAATGTGAAAAGGATGCCATGCTTGTAAAACTAAAGTGGAACTTTGCTGGAGAAGCATTAAGCATTCCAGCCGTGAACACAGGCTGAGTTTCAAGTATTTCCTCCAAAGTCTTCACTCTGACAGCTTTTCTACTCACATCCAAGTTCCACAAATGTTGCTATAATGTTGATAATATGTTTTAAATCCCTAGCTCTTTCTCTGGGATTTTGAGATGAGAATAGTAATCAAGTAGCAACTGGGATCTGAGAAAAGAGAGTCTGGGATTCCCAAACTCTCCCTCGGTTAATGTACTTTTTTTGGTATCAGCATGAACAAAGGTAATTGCTTTGTAGTCAGTTAAGGTACTTATGGGGAAATAGTTTGTTGTGTGAAGCCTTTGTAAACAGAAACATTGCTGTCTCTGGCCATGTGATTTGCTCAAAGGCAACACACCCATTTTTGACACAAATATGTACCGCCTC